CAATTTCTGCCACCTCCCAGCCCTTTGTCTTGCACTTCCTTCCCCTTATCATCCCTTAAAAGCTGCTGCTGCTTTCCCTCCCCTTCCTCAACCTCTTTCTCACCACCACTTAAACTACTCTGTCCAGTGTGTTCTGCCTACCGCTAGCGCCACCTGCTGTAAGCTGTCCTGTCCTTTCTCCCGCCAGCCCTAGCAGGCAGCAGCTTTCAATGTACAGTGGTACCTCGGGTTAAGTACTTAATTCGTTCCGGAGGTCCGTTCTTAACCTGAAACTGTTCTTAACCTGAAGACCACTTTAGCTAATGGGGCCTCCTGCTGCCGCCGCGCCGCCGGAGCACAATTTCTGTTCTTATCCTGAAGCAAAGTTCTTAACCCGAGGTACTATTTCTGGGTTAGCGGAGTCTGTAACCTGAAGCGTCTGTAACCTGAAGTGTATGTAACCCAAGGTACCACTGTATAATAATAAACGCTACTAATGAGCTCAGGGTTTTTGCAGGTTATGTAGCCAAAACGGGGCTACTGAGAAACCCAAGTTTTGTAGAAGTTGAAAAATGCTTATGAATATAGCCTAAGGGGGCAGCTCCTCTCCCCCCGCTGCAAAAAACAACAACAATAAAATCTCAGTCCAATGGAGGATTCACTCCCCAAGGATGGCCACAAACTTAGATGGCTTAAAAGGCTCAGACCAACTCATGGAAGATAGGGCTATCAACAGCTATATTCTATCTCCACTGGGAATCATGGGAGGGCTTACCGCTGTGGCAACAGGATGCTGGTCTAGAAGGACCATTGGCCCAGTCCAGTAGGCTCATCTTGCATTCTTGTGACTGAGCATGCTCAGTGTTACACAATACAAAGTGTCAGGGTGAATCAGAAGACTCAAGTGAGGGTGGAAATAAGTATTATGAAAGAAAGCATAGCATAGCTGACTAGAGCTCTGGGCAGAAGCACTCTGCACAGCAGGCCCCACTTCATTTGGTTAGGCTAGAAGTTTTGTAATGCACAGGACTATCTCAAAGGCATCGCCTAACCGGCTCTTTCTATTCTGAATTAATAGTCTGCAAAAGATTGGTCTTAACGCTAATAATGTTGAATGAAGCAGTAATGTTTTTAGTGGCTTTGACAGATGATGGCTCCGTCTTCTAGCATTATTGATGTACAGCGTATTGGGAAGAGAATTGGGAATATTACGGGCTGTTTGATGTCCAGCACCTGCTTGGATTTCAAAAGATTTAGTCATAGAATTGCTCACTTGCTTGACTTCTTTTGAAAAGGCCTGTGCGAGCCTGCAGGTTATCAATTAAAATATCAATATCTCAATTTGTGAGCTTAAATATAACAATGCGTCTCTTAGTGCACACACAGATTTTTTGGAACGCAAGAGACTGAATTTGCCTGCATTAGCATAAAATTCATTACTGAGTGAATGGAAAGCCTTTATTCCCATGGGTGTAACTACAATAAGAACGAAGTACAATTTGAATCAAGGATAACTTGGTTATTTCAAACCTGCTCCATTATTCTTTCATCTGTGGCCCTTACTTGAGAGTGGGGGGAGAGCAGCAGGCAAGAGGTTGTTGTTGTTGTTGTTTAAATAATAATAGAGAAATAGCATTTGCCGTACCTGTTTAAAATGTATATATTGTTATTTGTGTCTGTTTCCAGTGCATTCTAGGTCCAAAATACACACATATCCTCTTTTCTTCAAAAGATAACAACACACTAGCTAACATAATTGTTGCGTTTCGTTACCACAGATAGAGAGTATTGTTCCTTCCACTGTAGTGTGTGCCTTGTGTGTTCTCTTGTAGTCTTCTGAAGACATTTGGCTTGATAGCTGATCTGTGCTAGTAGGACTTCATTGGGAGGTGATTGTGGGAGCTCATCCCTGCACACTGCTGTTCTGTGATCAAAAACTGGAAATGGTAATTCCTACTAGACAAACGAGCCTGTGTGGCATTGTTCATTTTACTTCCACTCTATTGTTTTTGGTTCCTTAATATTATTGTTGATTTTTTAAAGTTTGTTTTTTAAAAAAACCAACACAGATTTTCTTGCGTTACAAAACAAAAAAAATAAGGAAAAGTATGTTTAGTGTCTTCACTTTCAATTCATGGAGTCTTTTTCACAGTTTGGTGAATGCACTGGGCCTTTCTGAATGTCAGAAGAGGCAGCAGGTGGCATTGCTGCAGGCTTGAAATTTTGCTTCTTTAAAGTACTGGAGTTAATCTCTCTGGTGGAAAATCTTTTCATGTTGCTTGGCGTTGGATCACTGCTCTGTATTGACACATCTCTGACAGCCTGTTATCTATGCCAGACCCTTGCAAATCAACACTATTGCAAAGATGTTTAGATAGAGAAGCAGAGAAATGGCTAGGGACAGCAGGTAATAGAGTGTCCCCTAATCAGCTAAGATTATTCTTGTCAGAGAGGTTTGCTCATTGAGAGAGCTTATCAGCAGTTTCTTTCCCTTGGTTCTTTCCCATTTAGAGCAGTTGTTTTAAGCCAAGCAAGGAAAGCGTTTCAGACCTTCCTAATGAATCATCTTGCATTCCCTTAGGTTGAGTCCAGCTTGGAAAAGATGTAGAATATTGCTTTCTGTGTGAATTATGTGCTCTAGTTTCCAGATATTATAAAGCTTTGCCTAGTGAAAATGCAAACAAAGCCATGTCTCCAGGGCATGCAGAACAGAAAGTGTTGCACATTACAATCAGGCTCTTCTGAAGGTTCGTTTAATGTCTTGTTGTGCTTTTTTGGGTAGGTGGGGTAGGGAATTACTTTTGAAATACATTATTCATGTAAGTAGATGCATAGGGAGAAGTTACTGAATTGTGATTTCTGTGGGAAATCTACTGTTGTGAATTGATGCGTGCATTATTTATATCTATGCAGTAGGTCTTTACTGCATAATAGAGGCATGAAATCCAAACACAGCAGCCTGTGGAAGGAAGCAGTGAACAAATTTGCTCTTTCCTGGAAAGGAGCCGAGCCTGACCCTTTTTAGGTAACCCAAATCTATCTCCAGTGCACTAGGCACCTGCTGCTGTTTAATAATAAATTAATATTCTGCAAGTTCAGCTATTGAAATGAAAATGCTAGTAGCAGGAATTCAGCATACAGAGCAATCATACACTTACTTGAGAATAAGTCCTTTTGGAACTTATCTGAAGGGGGTTGTTCTGTTAACTATTTTGGCTTGAGGTAGCGGATTTGCTTTCTAGTCTCTAAAGATCCATTACACAAATGATGCTAAGACCAAAAAAAAAAAAAAAAGGTTCTTTTGAGTCTGTGTAAATGGTGGATGCAGCACTGGCAACAGGTGATTCTTAAATTGTAAAAGGAAGGGCGCCAGGGCTGAATTCAGCCCATTAGTTTTATCCTCTTGCCTGGAAGCCCTAATCTAAGTGAGAGTGGTTGTGGTTACCTTTTATTTAGCAATGAGTAAATGGAGAGTTTCTGGAGTCTGTGTGGATATGGTATGGAGCTAAATTATCCAGTGCTTTCTAAACAGCTGCAAAACTGCTCCTAATGTTGCATGCACAACTATATTTAGTAAAAAATACCATGAATTCAAATAATTGTATCTATAAAATAGGAATGCCAGTTACCTGCCTTACTTGATGTGTTAGTGAATGTTTATATAATACTCTGCACACCAAAATGCCAATTTAGGCACCTGTTGCTTGCTTCTTTTCTTTGTAAAACAACCTTCATAAAATAAATGAAATGCTAGTGGATTGGAGCAATTTGTAAATGGTGGCGCATTGATGGCTATCCCTTCACATTTAATTGTGGTGAAATATAAAACTGTTGATGCTTCTTTTCATATGTACCTTTTTGGACAGTCCTTAACATCTGTTGCAGGTATATAGTACAATTCGTTGAAAGTTAGGTTTCCTTAACAAAATCAGCGGGATGAGTATTTTGCTGTGTACTTCATTGATTTCGTCAATTTCAGTGAGTTTTACATATGCCTACCTTGTGCTGGATTGCACTCCGCTTTCATCCCCTCCTGGTGGTATTAGGAAGTGCTTCTGTTTTCTGAACTTTTCTTTCTTTATGAGGTTCCGAGGAAGCATTTAATGTTTGGTGTATGTATATCTGCTCCACAGACAAATAGCAAGTTCCAGTGGGGATAGAAACATTTATCGAAACCAATAAACTAATTGAACTACTATTCCCCTTCCTCCACCTGAAATAATTATTTGTGTACTTGTAGCTGTCTGTGGTCTTTAAGAGCTGGAGGTGATAAACCTCTGTTGCCTGAACTACGTTAGAGATGTCAAGGCTGAATTTTGAATGCCTAGGTAGTCCTCTTCTATTAAAAAAAAACAACCCTTCATTTTATTTACTTACTTATTTATGAGAATATTCTACACTACACTTGATCTTAGCCAAAAGGCCGAGAAGTGATATGAGAATATTTATAGACTGCCCACTCGTATAAATTTTCAAGCTTGTGACGAACCATATACATAGGTGCAATAAAGCACAAGATACCACAAAACCATTTCAAAATAATCATTATAATGACTGGGAGAATAGAGGTAGAAATTGCTCTGTAGTCTGCTGGGTTGTGTCTTGTTAGTTTTATTGCCTTGGTATGAAAATTATAATTGCCATTGCACAGGGTTCAGGCTTGTTGTTTGCTAATATATTGGTTTGTAAATGGCATAAATAAAGGGATGTGCACAAGCTTGTTTGTGTATTGAGATTGCATGCAATCAGATGTCAAGGAAATAAGCAACTATCTTACTTTTAAAAGACATCTGAAGGCAGCCCTGTTTAGGGAAGTTTTTAATGTTTAATGCTGTACTGTGTTTTTAATATTCTGTTGGGAGCCGTCCAGAGTGGCTGGGGAAACCCAGCCAGATGGGCGGGGTATAAATTATGATTATGATTATCATCCAACATTGCATTCATATTATATTTATTGATGTCGGTCATGCAGTGTTGTACCTCACTCATCCTCACGTATGTTTGGTCTTTTTTTGCCCAAGTTTGTCCACTACCTCCTATGGTGACTCATGGAGATTACATTTGCCACCCGCGGCCTTGCGAGCATTACAACCATGGGACTGTGGTTGAGTTCTATTGTGATCCTGGCTACACTCTCACCAACGATTACAAATATATCACCTGCCAGTATGGAGAATGGTTTCCGTCATATCAAGTGTACTGTGTCAAAACAGGTAATAAGCAACAACTTGAGAACCTGACCTGTACATGAAAGTTTAGACCAGGGTAGTCAGCCTTTTATACCTACCGCCCACTAATGCATCTTTCTTGATGGTAAAATTTCCTTACCTCCCACCAGTGCTCGATGGAAGGAGGATTCAGCTTGTGCCGCAGAACCTCCTACCGCCCACCTAGAATCCTGAAACGCCCACTAGTGGGTGGTAGGGACCAGGTTGACAACCCCTGGTTTAGACAGTAAACATCCAGGCAAATAGAAGTAGAAAGGTGGGGTCCCCTATTTAACAGTGCACAATCTTACCAATGTAACATTTATATGCAGATAATTTTTAAAGGGCATATTACTGTATATACTTGAATATAAGCCGACTTTTTCAGCATATTTTTTATGCTGAAAAAGCCTGCCTCGGCTTATACTCAAGTGAGGCGGGTGGCTGCGGAGGGACGAACGGTGAGAAAGCCCTTCCTTGCCGCTCGTCCCTCCGCCGCTGCCTGCCTCTCACAAGGGAAGGCACAGGAGCCGCAGCTGGGAGAGGCACTGCGCTGTGCCTCTCCCAACCGGGCTCCTATGCTTGCTCTTGCGAGCAGCAGAGGCAGCGGCAGAGGAATGAGCGGCTGCTCCGCTGTCAGCGGAGATGGAGGAGGAGCGAGCAGCGAGCAGCAGCAGAGGAGGAACGAGCAGCCCGAAAGCAGCCTTTTTGGGCTGCTTGTTCTTCCTCCTCCGCTGCTGCCACCACCAGGTTTGTGGTGAGCCAGCTTATACCTGAGTCAATAAGTTTTCCCTGTTTTTTTGTCCTAAAATTAGGTGCCTTGGCTTATATTCAGGTCGGCTTATACTCAAGTATATACGGTATATATACACAGTACTCCAGGTGTGGCACACTATACTTCTATTAAGGCAACCCAGATTAGCATTGCCAATTTTTTGCTCTTGCATCACGCTGTTGACTCATGTTAAGCTGGTGGTATACTAAGACCCCTAGATCCTTTTCACATGTTCCACTGGCAATCCAAGTGTCCCCCATCATATATGGGCTGGTTCTTCCTGCCTGAATGTAGAACCTGACATTTATCACTATTCATTTTGTTAGTTTGGGCCCAGTTCTCCAATCTCTTAAGGTCATATTGAATCCCGATTCTGTTTTCTGAGGCATTAGCTACCCCTCCCAGTTTTGTGTCATCTGCATGATTGTAAAGTATTTGGGCCCTGATCTTTTATGGCTCTAATGAAAAATAAGTATTAAACCATTATTACTTAACATGACACTTTTTCATTATCGTTTGTGCTACAGAACAAACTTGGCCAAATACACAGGAAACTCTCCTGACAACATGGAAGATTGTGGCATTCACTGCTACCAGTGTTCTTCTGGTGCTTCTGTTAGTTATCCTTGCCAGAATGTTCCAGACCAAATTTAAGGCACGCTTTCTTCCAAGGTTAGTAACGCGTTTCTCTTATGTTCTCCTCCTTCTCCTTCTCCCAGTAGTTGGCAGTGTGGTACTGTATTTAATCCTTACTTGATTTTACTGCGCTATATTCTTTTTTAATAAATATTGCGAACCACTCTCTTATATGTATCATCAAGGGTGGTAAACAAAAGCCCTGAATGAACAAGCAAATCAATAATGCACTTTCAACCCTCTTATCTTAAACTAGGGTGGCTGCCAGCGGTGGCTCCCTGTTTGTGGAATGCTCTCCCCACTGAAGTTCTCCTGGTGCCATCATTATGTATCTGTAGGCAAAAACCTTCATCTATAACCAGGCCTTTGGCCTTTAACTATCTGTGACCTTTTAGAAGTGGGTGGGATGTTTTTAAAGTATTTCTCTTTCCTCTTGGTTTTAATGTATTCATGTGGGATTTATTGTCTATTTGTTTAGTTGTAGGTAGCTTTCGGTTGCCCTGGGCAAAATAAAGCAACTGACAAATTTAATAAAAGTAAATAAAGTTGCTATTCACAATTGATGTGTCCGTCGCCTTAATGCACAGTACAGATGCAGTATACCATGAAAGTTAGCTGAGATTTTCTCACTGCCAACCTTGGATTTCCCAGCCTAACTTGTGATTCTGGGAATCTTAATGTAGGCTGATGTTCACAGTGCGGAATGAGGAATAAGAGAGTTCCTTATCTTTGCCACCCAGCTGCTTGCTTTCCTTCTCCCACCTCTTCCCCGGTTTGCTGGAGCTATTTAGCTTATTGTGACAAATTGCACATGGCTATCGGTCTGAACAGATACCTGGGCATATTTGAAGTAAATATTAATGATGCATTGCCTCGATTTCGGGTTATTAAAAACTTTCTAAGTGGTGAACCTCATATGTTGCTGGAAGATGATATTCTGCCATTCATGCTCTCTCACATACACACTCACGCACACCCTCTTTCTCTCCTTCCAATATAGAGGATCTCAGGAGAATTGCAGCAGTGGCCCCGACTTCGTGGTGGTGGACGGTGTTCCTGTGATGCTACCTTCCTACGATGAAGCTGTGAGCAGTGGATTGAATGCCTTGGCACCTGGATGTGTGTCCCCTGCTGGCCAGGGGTATGTTTTACAGGCTGATGATCAGAACCCTCCAGCTTATCCGGGGCCAGATGACTTGGGCAGGTTGCCAGCGGAATTTGATACCTGTGACAGCATTTCAGGCTCTTCGGAACTTCTTCAAAGTTTGTACACATCTTCTGTGTGTCAAGTGGGAGCACATCCTATCTCAGAGAGAACTGATGCTATCAATAGCACCACCGGGGAAGTAGCATCAACCAGCCCAAGCATTGACATTGCAGATGGTAATTTTGATTTTTGAACATTATGTGAGCTTGTTTTAGTGTCAGAGGTTGTTTTTTTCCCATATGAAGAAGCCATGAGATTGTGCTTTGGAGAAGGAACCTAACTGCATATTGGGTCTTTCTTTCTGTTCCAGCCTATGTCTCTTTTGCTTCTGACTTTTTTTAAAAAAAAACCACAACAGCAGCAGCCGCAAATTCTTTACAACTCAAAGTTTCACCACCACCTTGCATCAGATTCTACCAAGGATTTGTGCCTAAAAATTCATTTATGGCAGGAGAGGGTTAACGTGTTCCCCACTGCAAACGACTGAACATTTGCTGGAGGTCAGCTTAGCTAGTTTTCTTGGGTACATGGCACATCTTTAAAAACATGTGGAGTTATAGTCTGGGCCTGGAGTATGAGAGTAGCCAAAAATGCCCTGTTTCATCAGCCTATGCGCTAGTTCTTTTTTCCTCTGTGTTTCTTTCTTTTTTTTTTTAGTAATGAGCGCACACACTACATTACAGTAAAATTCAACATAGTATCTACCTAGTCTTTTGTTACTCTGTCAGAAAGTCCAATCCAATTACCTTGTTGTAATATTGATTTTTCTCAACATCCAGCTGTGTATTTCAATGAGCTATGTATAGTTTACTGTGGTTTGTGTAACGCTCAAAGTCAGAGTCAGTGGCAAACTGGTGTTAGTGGCAGATTTTCATGGTCACCTACTCTAATGAAGACATACGCTAAGTCATCTTTTATGCTGAGAGCAAATAATAATAGTAATGATAATAATTTCATTATTTATACCTCGCCCATCTGGCTGGGTTTCCCCAGCTAGTAAGATCACGCTTAGGATGCAGCATTATTGAATAGGTTCCACAGCCAATGTGATTTTTGGCCATCCTTAAAATTTGGCTTGTTGAAGGTTTCATGGCCTCTTATTCCTCTGCACATTGAACTGCTTCATGAAACATACTAATTAAATGACTCCAAATTAGTCATGAATGTGTGCCAGGCTTCAAGCACACAAGCTGAACGGGGGGTGGGGGTGGGGAATTGAATCTTCATTTAATTCTCATTCTGAAAACTAGCCTGGCCTAAGAAAGAATAATCAGAGGACTACTTCACTGCACAGCCACCTGCAAAGTGCTTTGAACAATTAGCCTGATTTGTATGCAGCCACTTAGCGTACTTTGTGATTGCACCAGGTCGCTATGTAGTAAAGTAAAAGGGAAAAAAAGGGTTGTCTGACTCCATGCATAAAGTGCCTTAACATCTTAGCAACAGTGGCCCTGTTAATGGCATGTTATAGCAAAATAACATTTCAGCTCCTCCCTTCACAGAGTTCACTATTAAAACCCAATTAACTCTTTCTTTTATTTTCTAGAAATTCCATTGATGGATGAAGACCCTTAATCTGCACAAATCTTGATCATTACCTGCTCACACCTCTTGGGGGGGGAGGAGGGCGTAAAAGAATCATGCACATATGTATACAAACACCTATATATCTATATAAATCTCTATATAAAGACTGAATAAATATCGGGGGAGGGCATTTTCGGTTTTTATAAATCTTCCACATTATGATGTCACCAGATTTTTTTTGTGCACATATCTTAATCAACTTTGGGGGTTGAGAGCATCAGCTATTCAACGGCAGCTTTACAAAAATGAATCCTGAGGATTTGATGAGACTAGTCACTGCAAAAGAACTATAGATTTATGGAATAGTGATGAGTGTATCTGCATCGCAGGAAGTCTTAACTGCTCTTTAGAAACACCAGTGAAAGTGGTTTGTGGCACAGGTACAAACTGCCTAAAGAAAGCATGTCAGATGATGTAAATTTTGCTTTATTGAAGCTGCTAAATATTTATGATGGACCACAATTTACAAAGGAATCCTAATTTATGGGGTGCGGGGAAATAAACAGTGTTGAAATTAAAATTGGGAAAAGGTCATTCCTGAATGGTCTGTTTTAACCATGCTTGTAGAGAGAAACTCTTGTGGTGATGTCACTTAAAGAGGCGGCTGCAGCAACAAAGCACCTGAGTTCAAGAAAGAACTTATTCTGGGTAAACGTATAATAAAAGGAAAGAAGAGGCTTGAGTCATGATCTAAAGGTTTTGTTTTTGTTTTTTTAAAGAAAGAAAGATCTAAAATAGAAGTATTTATGAAACATTATCGCAATTGCATTGCATTTGACCTGTTTTTTCTCATAAATGTTCCAAGTTATAAACAAAAGTAGCAAAGCCACACTTAGGCAAATGTTGAAATAGTAGTGTCTCGCACCCATGTTTAATGTGGTCAGTGATAAACAAGAGGAAGGCAATGGTATTGGTTGGACCCCAACTCAAAGAGGAAGTCTCTGCTTAAATAGGTCAGTGAGGAATGAGCATACTCAGTGGCATCTAAGAATCGTGGGATGTTGAATGTCAGCTGAAAAAGGAAAAGAGGAAACTGGTGAGGTGGGTGGGAGGGAGGGAGGTTAATTGGCCTGTTTGAGCTACTTACAAGGAGGAACATCCTGGAGGAAGACCGGACTGGCTCTGTTGTGAGATTAGTATTACTAGTTACTAGTGCTTTCACTCCTAAGCTGAGGTTTGTACTAAGAATATAGAGCCATAGTCATACTGGCCACATGACCCGGAAGCTGTATGCCGGCTCCCTCGGCCAATAAAGCGAGATGAGCTCCGCAACCCCAGAGTCGGTCAGGTCTGGACCTAATGGGCAGGGGTCCCTTTACCTTTTACTACACATGGTATGATCAGGAACGATTATAGTTCAGTGACAGAGCACATGTTCTGCATGCAGAAAGAAGGGTTGGGAAAGACTGAAACTCTGGAGCTAGGTGGATCAATTGTCTGATTTGGTATAAGACAGCTTCCTATTTTTCTTCCTTTTTTTCATTAACACAAAATGCCAGACTGTATACAGTGGTACCTCGGTCTACAAACAGCCCTGTTAACGAACTATTCGGTGAACAAACTGCAAAACCAGAAGTAGGTGTTCCGGTTAGCGAACTTTGCCCTGGAAGCCGAACGGAATCCGAACGGTGGAAGGGCACCAGCTGCAATAGGCCTCAGTAGGGAAAGTGTGCCTCGGGTTAAGAATGGACTTCCGGAACGAATTAAGTTTGTAAACCGAGGTACCACTGTATCTGGAATTTTCTTCAACTTCTTCCTCACTCCCAATCCAGATCACAACTGTGTCGATTAACCTTTTTCTTTTGTTCCATGGTCTTGATTGTTGTTGCTGTTCTTTTGACACAAAAGGGAAGCATGGATATCATTTCAGGGAGGGCAAGGGCAGATTTCTCCTCCCCACTCAATACATCTAAGCTGTTACTTCAGCTACTGTTAAATCCAACTCATTTATGCTTCCACATGCTCAAGTATTTGAAGATATGTACAAAAATTATCTTCCATAATACAATGGCATTCATTTTACCTATTTAAAATATCTCTTAACCACACTTCTTCAAAAGATTCTAGTGATGGAATGCAAAAGTGTGACTAATTCACACAGCACTGCAACATAAATACAGCTTAAAATGAACAAACACATGGAACAAAATGCAAAAAACCCCACCCCCAAATAGGTTTTTGCACTGGATTTTCTGCTATCTAAAATGCTTGTGCAGATAGAGAGATATTTGCATGGTGCGCCTGTATCTTGACCTGTGACAATAACAATTTGTATATATCTAGACAAACAGTTAAATAAGACAATTTTGGACGCTTCCCAAATGTGTGCACTTTTTACTTCTCTAGTGTATGTAATTTCTGAGAAGAATTTTCTCGAAGCTTGATACTGGTTGGTTTAGGAAACAATAGCTTTCCCCAACCGTACAAGCATTGCAGATTACAATGTACCACCTTTACTACCAATCCAGGTATATATGGTTCATTTTTCTATAGTAGAAGAGTGAGCTCGTTGTAAAAGCTCTTAAAGATCCCGAACCACTTCTTATTTTCAGTCTTAAGTGTATAATCACCCACATACACAATGAAAATGCTCTGAAGAGTCCACTTGTGTAGGTACGCAGTGATAAAAAAGATGAATACTATAGGGAAATGGGAAGGAGGGATTCTGTAGGTTGGCAGTGCAGCTATTGTGCCTTATATTTTTATTTTCGGCTCATGATAATGAAAATAAGTAATGCTTGAAATAAGACAAAGCATCATGGAAATGTATTTGCAAGCAGGGGTATTTGAGTCAATTGCAATTGTCTGCTCAAGAACCATGCACTGAACAGTGTTAACAGCCTTGGGAAACTGTCATGTAACAAACAGCATGTATTTTTGTTGATGTTCTATGGCTGCTGAGTAGTATCCAAATATTCCCAGCGTTTGTTGTGGGACTTAGAAAAAAGTGTTGCTGTAATGTATCAAAAATCTTCCATTTATTTTGCCTTCATGTCTGTTGATTTTGAGGAATGTTGGAGATAAAAACCTCATGAGAGTCCCATTTCAGGTGGATAATTCATAAGCATTGCTCCGAATAAATGGGCCATCCCTCTCCTGCGCTACATCACAGACTCTTGCTATATCCATCCCCACTTGGTCCTCTATTGCTGGTCCTGAGGCTAAGGAAAGTTCAGCACTTAAGCCCCACCTCCCAATTATAACTAGGAAAATCCAAAAGATATGGTATAAATTCAAGTAAATGTATTTGCAGCGGCATTTCATCCATGGAAGTTTTTTCGCTACACAACTCACCGTCCAATCCTATACATGTTTAATCAGGAGTAAATCCTGCTGAGAATTAACTCCCAGTAAGGGACGTAGGTGGTGCTGAGGGTTAAACCACAGAGCCTAGGGCTTGCCGATCAGAAGGTTGGCAGTTTGAATCCTCACGACAGGGTGAGCTCCCGTTGTTCGGTCCCTGCTCCTGCCAACCTAGCAGTTTGAAAGCACGTCAAAGTGCAAGTAGATAAATAGGTACCGCTCCGGTGGGAAGGTAAATGGCGTTTCCGTGCGCTGCTCTGGTTCGCCAGAAGCGGCTTAGTCATGCTGGCCACATGACCCGGAAGCTGTACGCCGGCTTCCTGAGTCAATAAAGCGAGATGAGCACCGCAACCCCAGAGTCGGTCACGACTGGACCTAATGGTCAGGGGTCCCTTTACCTTTTTAAGGGAGTTTACAAATCTGATCTTGGACATTTTAGATAAAATAGTTTCTTAAATGTGGCAACAACAGTTTGTAGATAGTTCATCTGAACCTGTCTCATGACTGAATGGAGCAGATCTGTCTCAGGCTGCTGGCAAAGAGCACCTGAGGTGAAGTGGGAAAATATCAGGTAAGAGTTGTTTTTTGTTTAATACATCTCCTTAAGCCATTAAACCATCACCATTTTAGGCAACCAGAGTCTGCAGTGCACAGAAGTAGATATCAAAGTCTTCAGTGGCCACATGTGCTACCCTTTTGAACTTATCCTGCTGATTCATTTTGTGGTTACTGAATCCTCAGGTATTGCAATAAAACAGTCAAGTGACGCCACTGATGCTTAAAACACTGACCTTTTAAAAAATGTAACTCTACTGCAGGAAGGGAACAAAGGCTTTGGGGCATGATATATGTTATAGACAGCTATTTTGTAATGGAGAACTCCTAAAACTGGTTCTAGGAAATATTTTTAAAAGCTTTACATAGCAACCCCACACTCTCATTGTGCTCATAGACTGTTTAATTATCCATTCAAAGAGTGCTCACTAATGGTTCATCATACCAGAAAAAAGTGGCAAGTGGGGTGCTGCAGGGATCTGTCTTTGACCCATTGTTTTTCAGCTTCTTTGTAAATGATTTGAAGAAATTGAGGGGATGCTCATCAGATTTGTCCATGACACCAAACTGGGAGGGGTAGCCAATGCTGCTGAAGAAAGAATTGGGATTCAAGATGACCTTAACAGATTGGAGAACTGGGCCCACACTAACAAAATAAATTTTAATAGGGACAAATGTCAGGTTCTACACTTCAGCAGGAAGAACCAGCTGCACAAATATAAGATAAGGGACACTCAGATTGCCACTAGTATATGTGAAAAATACCTAGGGATCTTAGTAGACCACAAGTTTAACATGAGTCAACAGTGTGATACAAGACCAAAGAAGGTTAATGCTATTATAGGCTGCATCAACAGACATACAGTGTCCCAATCCAAGGACGTAATAGTACCACTCTATTCTGCCTTGGTCAGAGCACACCTGGAGAACTGTCCAGTTGTGGGCACCACAATTTAAGAAGGATGTTGACAAGCTGGAACGTGTGGAGAGGAAGGTGACCAAGATGATCAAAGGGTCTGGAAACCAAGCCTTATGATGAATAGTTGAGGGAGCTGGGTTCGTTTGGCCTGGAAAAGAGGAGACTGAGAAGAGATATGATAGCCACTTTCAAATACCTAAAGGGCTGTCACATGGAAGATGGAGCAAGCTTGTTTTCTCCTGCTCCAGGTGGTAGAGCCCAAACCTATGGCTTCAAGTTACAGGAAAGGAGATTCTGACTAAACATCAGGAGGAACTTTCTGACAGGAAGAGCTGTTCCATGAGAGGTGGAAGTTTTTAAGCAAGGGTTGAATGGCCATCTGTCATGTGTGATCTAGTTGAGATTCCTGTATTTCAAGGGGGTAGGCTAGATGATCCTCAGGATCCCTTCCAAGACTAGAATTCTATGATCTTGTACTGATGGACTGGCTCTACAATAAAGATCCCCAGGTTACAGAGTACAGCCAGCGTGGTGTAGTGGTTAAGAGCGGTGGACTTGTAATCTGGTGAACCGGGTTTGCATCTCCGCTCTTCCACATGCAGCTGCTGGGTGACCTTGGGCTAGTCACACTTCTTTGAAGTCTCTCAGCCCCACTCACCTCACAGAGTGTTTGTTGTGGGGAAGGAAGGGAAAGGAGATTGTTAGCCGCTTTGAGACTCCTTAAGGGGAGTGAAAGGCGGGATATCAAATCCAAACTCCTCTTCTTCAGCATGGCCAAGGCAATTAAACATATCTAACATTTTTTTAAAAACTACAACAACAATTTTCTTAACAGTCCAGATCAATTTATGAATAACACTGGCTCCATTTCTTTGCTTACCATTCTCTGTTGTGAAAACTCCATT